GTGCATTTGATGGCTTTGCGAGTTGTTTAACATTCATTACATCGTATTTATTCTTATTCTACCCATCTTGTTAAGTTCCTAGAGGTCAAATCGTGAGGAAGTGTTTTTCTGTTCTGGGACATGCATTTCTGACTATTCCCATCATGGAGCACCAAGCCAAAGACTGTCCGTATGGAGACAATTCTTTTAGCAATGAAGATACATCTCCGGATTGATTGTGTCTGCCTCTCATTCAACACACAGTCAACATTTAAGTAATGTAAATGTAAGCTAAATTTTAAACTTGATGTACCCCCCGGGGCAGTGCCACTGACTGAAGTGTTTTTAGGCCATTCCCAAAGGGAGGACATTTCTCGTTCAAGTTTAAGCATAGTAGAATTGTAAATGGGCTGACTCATGTCAGGCTCATAACTGTGCCTGATCTACAACAGGGAACTGCTGCTTTTTCTTTCCTGATCCTTACTATTGTCATTTTCCTCTACTTTTTTTGTATGTTTGTCACTCTCTTATGACCTGCTATTTTGGGGTGCCTTGATAGTCGAAGCAGACCTTGTGCTGTTTAAGCTAGAGAGGTGAGCAGTCTAAGTCTGATTCCCTGTAAAGACTTCTCTGTTGACACCCACCCCTTGGCGCTCATATGACCTTATACAGTTGCGAGCACCGCAAAACCCTCTACTATAAAAACAACAACAACCAAAAACTTGATGTAGATTGTCTCAGCGACAAGACAGGGTAGGAAGGTTTACGATTGCTGTTCCTTCCGAAGTTCAGATTGGGGTCTCCAATGTTACAGTCGAGTTTATTACCATTGTAACCTTCAGAATGGTTTTCCTTTGGCAGATTCTGTTCTTTTTCCACATATTTCCCCGAAACATCATCATACAATACTTTTTCTACCATCTCTATTGAATTAATTTATATTCTCAAGCTAACATTAACGACACGAGCATGTGAAAAAAGTGAGATTTTTATTTATGAAACTAGCAGGTAGAATCCGTTCTCAACAAAAACATAAATGAAATGTAATGTAAACAAATATATGGCGGTTTTGATATTTTGAAAACTGCTAGCGGCAAAACTAAAGACGAAACTAAGTATTAGGCAGGGGTAAAAGCAGTCAAAGGCAACCAAGTCAAAGAAACGGGAGCAAGATAAGAAAAAAATCCTTGCTCTGGTAGTAGATTCTTGTTTGTTTTGTGGAAACAAATTGAAAGAACGCGCCCTTACGAACTGCGTGTACCGCATTGAGAAATGGATTTAAAGCGGTTATATAACTTATAGGAATGTGTTCTAAAAATTCTCGGAATTGCGCAAATCAGATCTTTAAAAAACCCCCCAAAAACAACAATGTAATAAACCAATTTGAACATGTAAAAAGACAACATGGAGAGGGAATGTTATTCGTTTAACATGGTTGCGAGTTGGGAGGTTGAATATTAAGTAAGTGTGGGGTTGTCTCTCTACACCCCCCCCCCCAAAAAAAAAAGAAATGAAAAGAAAGAATAAAAAAAATATAATACAATAAAATGAAATAAAAAATTACCCCCCAAAAAACAACAACAAAACTAAAAAATCAGTAGTCTGTGGTCTACTCTAATGCTACGGCTCTTCGGCTGGTTGGAGGGCGCTACTGGCACTGCTAGATCCTACTTCTTCACTTTCCCTGTGTTGTTCCTTGCTGTTTATCTTACTTTCTCCCAACACTAAATGACGATTATTGTGTTGATGTGCTTCTCTTTACTCAACTTTAAAACAAACAAACAACAAAAGCCGTTGCAGACTGAAGAATCGAGAATTTTTTAATGTCAAAGTTATTGTATCTATCTTCTCCGTCTGTCTATCGCAGGGGTCACCATACATTTAGTACAGCGCTAATTGCCGCTCAACGGCAAGCTCTGCGCGCTTTAGTATCTACATATGGTTGTTACCTCAGCAGACCTGGTACTGATAGCATTTTCAACAGTCTCGACTTCCTGGGAAGCATAGGCTACAGCGTAAGCTGCCATTTTTTAGGTGCTCAACCACTAACATACTGATAAAATCTTTAGTTGTCTATGACTGGGTACCCATTCCCACCTGGGTGAAGTGAGGAACATTTATGTAAAGTGCCTTTCCCAAGGACACAACGTCGGACCTGAGACTCGAACCCCCGAAGCCACAACCTCACAATTACGATGGCGAGTCCGATAGCCTAATCATGGGTTATCGTGGCTAAATTGGAAGGCAAACCCTCTAACGTAGAGTCATCCGGATATATGCACCAACATCAGAGCATGTTAATGATGAAGCTGAGAATTTTTAAAATGAAGATCTTAATAAGGCAACGCAGCAACGTAAACCGCAGGATGTTAAGCTAGCCATTGGAAAGAAGAAGATTCACGCATAGAATAATATATAGTTGGGCCATGGGGAATGAGTAAAGAGAATGAACGCGGCGAACGACTCATACAGGCTTCAACATAAGTTAAGGACCACCTCGACAGAAAGCTCTGATTTTTTTTTTTTAATCCGAAAAAAAAGATAGCAAGGAATGTTTCAAAATATTTTGCTCTGAAAGTGCTGATGGGTTAACAATACGTACTGCAAAGTTTCCTAAAGGCGCAAAAACCACCACTTGCAGCTCGAGGATTTTTAGTCAAATTTGCTGCTATTTATCGACTTGTGTGCGACACCACGAACATTCCTCAGTTAAAATTTCTGGCGCACGTTATGGTCTCGAACTGTGCTCAGTTTGGTGGCAATATAAGCCGCCGTTTGCGCAGGATCCAGTATCGCATCAACATGCCACCAAGACGAAAGCTGAGAGACTTTAATCTTGCCAGGGTTATGGCATGGTTGCAAGATGGAGTTGGAACCCGAGAAGTTGCCAGAAGGCTTGCAGCGTCACAATCTGTCATTGTCCGCCTGAGGCAGCGCCATTATGCCACTGGATCAGTCCAAGAACGCCTACGAGCAGGTCGACCCAAGAAGACCACTCAGAGAGAGGATCGATATGTCCGCATGCAGGACTTGCGACAGAGGAAAACAACAGCTAACAGCATCAGGCATCGCCTTAGTGCTGCTATCAAGACGGCAGTGAGCTCCTAGACCATTCAGCATCGTCTGCATGCTGCCAACATCCGTGCCAAGCGTCCAATCAAGAAACCAAGGCTGACCGCAGGACACCAGACTAGTCGTCTCGCTTGGCGTAGGGGCCCATGAACCATGGACATGTGCCCAATAGGGCCATGTGTTGTTCACAGATGAGTCACGATTCATGGTCAACCCAAAAGATGGACGTGTGCGTGTGTGGCGGCGTCCACGAGAACAGTTAATGGACTTTAATGCGCTAGAGTTGACTCCTTTCGGTGGTGGCTCCATAATGGTATAGGGTAAAATTAGCACACATCAATATAACCCCCTTTACCATGTTGATGGTATTCTGAGTGGCTAACGGTACCTGCAAGAGATTAAGTAGCCACTCGTCACAGTGGGTCTCCAGTCTCCAGCACATTGGTCAACATGCAATACTCCAGGATAACAACACCACCCCACATAGTTACAGAACAATGTGGTTCTCCAGAACTCTCCGACCAAGCTCAGCCCACAACTGTTCAATAGGATTGAGGTCTGTGTTGGCTGGCCAAACCATGCGGGTAATCCCCGCCTGCAGCAAGAAGGCGTTGGCAGCCCTGGACCTCTACGGCGTGGTGTTGTCGTCCTGAAGGACAACAACAGGCCCAATCTCCTGCAGCGCCGGGCCGACAAGAGGTCGAAGGATCTCCTACAGATACCGCTGCCCTGTCAGGATACCGTCAACGTGGTAAAGGGGGGTCGACGTGGTAAAGGGGGGTTTTGTGGTGCATGCTGATCCCCCCCCCCCCCACCAACCATAATGGAGCCTCCTCCAAACGGGACCACTTCTTGAACTGCATTGGCAGCAAGCTGCTCCCGTGGATGCCTCCAGATGCGGGTTCGGCCTTCACTGAGTGTCAGACAGAACCGAGATGCATGAGTAAACAGGACCTCTGTCCACTGGGCACGTGACCACCTCTGGTGCTCAGTGCACCAGATTTGGTTGGCTTGCTGGTCCTGGGCCAGCTTAGGATTTTTGACTGGACGACGCGCACGAAGGTTGACGTCATGAAGGCGATTACGTATTGTCTGCGTGCAGACCGTGGTGTTGGTGGCAGCTCGCAGGCGTCGCCTGATGGCGCTGGCAGAGCTAGTCCGCTGCTGTATGGCTTGGCGTTGGATTTAGCGGTCTTCTCTTGCTGTCGTTTTCTTGAGACGACCCTGACGCCGCTCCTGGACTCTTCCTGTCACCGCGAACCGCTACCTCTGCCGTATGATGGTGGAGTGTGATACCTGAGGTCTGCGTGACACTTCGCGTACGCCAACTCCATCCTGCAGCCAGGCAATTGCCCGGGTCCTATCGAAGTCGTCAAACTTTTGTTGTGGTGGCATGTGGCTTGGCGCGGTAATACTGTAAAACAGAGCTGAAACGGCGGCTTATGTAGACAGACAAGTGAGCACAGTTCGTAGCCAGAGGTGCATTCTTTCACGTGCATCTCGTTTTTGCCTTGCAGAAAGCCCCAGGTATCGCTCACTGACGTTTGAAACTCGGTCCAGTTTTGCCGAAATTGCAGATTTTCACACGCGCCAAGCATGCCGCATGACGCGCACGCGCCACCTATAAAGTGGTTACCGTATTCACTATTAACCCCTTAGCCTTGCTACCGAATTTTACAAGATAAATCTGATTACTGAAAAATAAAGAAAAGATTTTTCGAAAATACTACCTATTATCGTGACCTGTCTTTAACTTTTTTGCGAAGACTGTATACCAACTACCCATATACTTTGTGTTGAAATGTGTGTTTGAATTCTGATGAAACTGATTCAGCTTTTGATTTTGATCTGATCTTAAAAATGAAACTAGTTTTCACGAAATCCTGACCAGGGCACCAGAAATGCTATACTAACATGTTAATGAAAAGAAGTATTGAAGCAGAGACATATTTTTATGTATGTTTAATTGATTATTCATATTCTTTCTACAAAGTTAGATATGATGAGCTATTTAATCTATTGGAAGAGCTATAGACATAGATGGAAAAGATCTAAGAATTATTAGTAATCTGTCAGGGACAAAGCCGCATTGTGTTTTAAATGTTATCACTGGTTTTAGAATTTTCTCATTCTTCTGGGATCTTTTACAGCTCTTCTCGGTTAGCTGGTGGTGGCTGGTGCTGCTGGACTCTTCGGCCAATTTCGCCTCACACATTATTCAATGAGGTTGTAGTCGGGACTGTTGGCTGACCATGGCATTCTTGTGGTCCCTTCTTGCCCTTCCCCGGCCAATTAAGAGCCGATGTCAGCCGAGATGAGCAAGCAGCCCTGAGGGAGGACCATGAGAAAGATTATGACTACTAATTCTAACACACCGGTTCTTTCACATTTTGTGTGAAAACGAGAAACAACAGCGGGATTTATGTTGAGGTGTTGCATAAGTGTCATGCCAGGTAAAAGTAAAGTACAACATCTCAAATTGTAGCAAAAATCGACGATCATGGCCAAATGTTTCTAGTTACTGTAAGACATGGCACCAATCCCATTATAACCTCCAGTCAGCGCATAAGGTCAAGTCTAGCTGTTGATTTAAAACACCTTTTAAATGTAGGTGTTTTACGTTCCAATGGGCACAATTTAGATCATTTAGGAGGCAGGCTTCCAACTTAGCCTGTCAGTCCAAACCGGGGCCGAGAGGGATACAACATCCCAGCAGAAAGTCAAAGATACGGTGCTAGATTAAAATTATTTTTCACCGGTGTCTGTGAAGCAAAAAAGGATAGACGTTTCAGACGTTCCGCTGTCGCTCGCAGGAGACCCGATTGAGGAGAATTTTATATCGAGTATCTCAGTCAAAAGTACTCTTAAATATCTTCATTGACTTAATTGAAGTTGCTTCAGTATTGGGTAGAGAATAATCTTGCCTTTGGTCTCGGACGACATCCCGAAGGGCCTACTCTTTTCAATTTTCGAACTGCCGAACCTACACTCCACACGGGACCTCCGAGAATTTTCATCTTATCCCTTGAGACTAAGTCCTTGATCCTCCCTACCCTTGGACTTACGGGTGTAGAAAAAAAGACGCCCCCCTCCCCCCACCAAATATCAAACCCTGACGCTGGTGGAGATCTACTAACCCCGGACCTCCAAATTGATAAATAAATTAAATGCAATACTTGTATATAATATACCAGTTGAGCTACTGAGCCCCCTCTCCTCACCCCCCTCCTCCCGACCACAAGCGCGTCCTGGGGACGATCAGGTTTATGACACTATTGTCGACAACAATCATGATGATAATAATATGACCGTTAAGATGAAAAAGATAATAAACAGAATAATCATGGTGATGAGGATAAGGATGATGAAGGCGAAGATGAAGATAACAATTGGAAGCTTAAATCGCCAATGAAGATATTGGTAATGGTAACAGTAATGGTAATGGCAACAAAAATGATCAAGAAAATGACAAACACCACGAAGTACATGTAATGATTCTTAGAAAAAACATGGAAAGTAGTGCTGATAACAGTAATCAAGACAACGATAATCGTATCGACCTGAAAGATGATACAGATAGCAATAATTGCAACAGATGATGATGATGATGATGATGATGATGATGATGATGATGATGATGATGATGATGATAGCATCTTACATTAAATGGCTGCAGGTTAACGTTGTTGAACAACTGGCTAAAAGGCAGGTTGATGCCTTTCTCTCCGAAGTCTGGAAAATGAGTTCGGGGGATGGGGGAGGGGGACAAATGGGTGGGGTGGGGGGTGGGGGGGGGGGGGGGGAGGTAAGGAGGTAAAAATGAATTAAAAAACCCAACCCTGTACATTGTATATTGTTCTTGTACTCCGGCATCCTCATCATCCATAGATCTCAATGTTTGACTACACTGACAGACAGCAAAGCCACGGAGAAATCTAGCCAATATACAGGGTGTCCCAAAAGTCACACACCATTCTGTAAAAAACCTTCTTCGTACCCAGAACGCTACTAAGAATAACAAGGTTCTATCTGACATTTTTGGCCGTTTTGAGTTACTAAGACCATGAGGTTAGAAACCAAATTAATGTTCTCTCAGCTCTATCAAAACCGCAATATTATTCAGAGTCGAAATCAAGGTATTCAAAGAATTGCATTCGAAAAAGCTTGACTTGTTGTGAAACTCAAAAACTTCTTCGTCATATTTCTCGAACTAGGTACTGAGCATATAGAATTTTGTAATTCTGGTGCAGCTAGACATTGACGATTAGAAGGATGCGCTTACAAGAGAGTGTCAAAAGATCAACCCTAAAAACACTCAGAAGTGAAAAAGATAAAAGACAGCTTTCTTGAGACAGTCAATTCTTGTTTAGCTCCCAAGGGCACTCAATTGGATAACCTACTCTTAAGTTTTGTTTTAAAAGATAGTATACATGTAAAGAAAAGCCAACCCCACCGAAATAAAATTATTGTTTTAAATCATTCTTTTTGTAAGGGTTTTACGGCGCTCACAATTGCATAAGGTCATATGAGCGCGGGACACATAAAACATTTTCAGTTGGTAGCAAATTTTGAATTTTGCTCTGGTGGCGGCCGAAACCTACTCTTATCGAATTTGGACCACCAAGGGATCTTTAACGTTCATACCTTGTACACGGTACCTCCGAGTTTTTTTGCCCTTTTCCGAGAAGGCTAGGTGTTCGATTTTTACCTTCCATACGATTAGAGGTGTGGCTATAAGACAGCAGTAAGAAGGAGCCAAGGAGTAGCAGTAGAAAGGCTGCAGAAAGAGTCAGGAGCTCAGAAGAGGGGGCAAAGGAGGTGAGGGGGTGGGTGCAGAAAGTGGAAAAGAAAGCAGGCGACAGAACATTGCTAGAGAGCAGGAAGGAAAGTGAAAGGAGAAAATATTGGAGAAGAAAATTTTCAGTCGCTCTCCGGATTCGAACCCGGGACCAATTGAATGAGAGGCAGACACCGTAATCTCTCGAACACGAGAACAAAAAACAACAACAACAACAAACAACTCAAAACAAAACCCATAACCCCCCCCCCCCCCCCCACGTCTTTCCGTCTGAACAGCCGGTTGCTTTGAATATCTTCGCCTTCTTTATTAAAGTATAGATACCAGAGTAAGGCAGAAATTAAATGTGCACCAAAGTTTAAATTATCAAGTGGAATTGATAACACAATTTCACCCCAAACTGGAGAATAACTGCCTTTTAGAATATAAACCAGTATTATAGTCGTTTGAGGAAATCCAGGCTAGTGCACGACTTTTGGGACACCCTGTAAAAAAATAAATAAAAATGCCAATACGGTCATGTACTGAGTTTGGAATTTGGAGCTCGACTTAAAGAGAGAGACTCATCCATACAATGATATTCATTTTCCGTTGTTAAAAGTAAGACATGGAGACAGTCCATTTGTTTGTCTGGGTGTGGGGTAAAGAGAGTGGGAGTTTATAGGATGCTCTTGTGTAGTTTACTCCTTCTTTCCCATCACATCTATCGTCCTTATACATATATCTCCTCCTTCTTTTCTGTGTTTGTTAATCTCTTGTAACACCTCTAATCTTTGGCACTTGTATCCTAACCAATTTATGTTGCAAGTGTTGTAACAAATTACTAAAAGCAAAAAAAAACAAACAAACAAAAAACAAACAAACAAACAACCAAAGAAAATAAAAAAGAGAGGAGAAAAGAGAAGCACATTGACATAATGATGGTTATATAGTGCACGGGAAAAAGCCAGGCAGACAGACAGAACGTACAGAACGAATAAAAGGTAGTGAAGACGTAGAATCCACAGGTGGGCCCCCTTCAACCATCCGTATGCAATAAAGAGAATTGACTAAGAATACGGTGAGCTCAGCTGACCACACAGATTTCCTCTGTTGACTCAGTCACCGGGCCGAGCTCAGTCATGGAGCCCTTTGCAGAGTGGACCCAATTACCTTAAGCCCTTCATGGTTAACCGGGCCACCCCCTAATGAAGCAACAGTTTCAAAAAAGAAAAATGACAAAGCAGCAAAGTGTTAAGGAAATAAACATTTATTTCCCATTTTAAAAGATGTCCAAAGTGAACCACCTGTATTTTTTCTCTGTCTACCCTCCCCCTTCTTTTTTACACCGCCTAGAAGGGGGGGGGGGGCAACAAAATAAGCAAGCTAATCTCTTCAACAGCACACACACACACGTGTCAACATGAGACCTAATGTTACCAGATACGTAGCATGTCCTGAATAAAAAAAGCGATACGTTAGGCATAAAAACCCACTTCATTCAAGCGCACTCAGAAATGGAATACTACTCAAATATCCTCACCATTGAACATAGGAATAAATTTCGTATCCATGGCAAGTCTCAGGATGATGTTGAGGGCACGTGGCTGGGGAGAAGACATAAGAAATTTTAAGTTCGTACAAGCATGCATACATACGCCCAGCCCGATGCACGTATGTGAAGTGTTATGTGCCAATGATTTTGAATTGCTTGTTCAAGAAGAACCCAGTATGCAAAACTATGTTGCTCTTTTTCAAATGCATGTGAGGATTTTGGACTCACTATAAGATAAGCGCAGCAGAGGCAGATGTTCTCGTGCAGCCTGCCCCTGGTGAAAAGCAAACCCTCCCTCCGGAAGTTAAAATACATGACACAACACTGAACAATGTTGAAAGCTTAAATTCGCTACCCCAGAATTACTAAGTTCTATCCCCTCAGCGCCATAGTTTTGAGAAATTTGAAGTTTAAAATGTTGAGTTTCACAATTATGTCAAGCTTTTCAAAGGCAATTTTTTGAATATCTTCATAAAGACTCCAAATAATCTTACGATTCTGATAGCTCAGATAGAACATGATTTCTGATTTCATGGTCCTAGTAACTCAAAACCTCCAAGAATGTCAGATAGAACTTTTTAATTCTAAGTTAGTGAAATATCTTGGTAGGATACCATCTACAAATGCCCGCATCAATGCGGGAATAGCTTGTCACTTGAATTAAGCCAGTGTACACTTTGGCAGACTCAGCGCAAGAACTTGGGACTACTGTGGCATTTACACAGGAGATAACATTGAACGTTTATTGTGCTATTGTCCTCTCAACCCTGTTGTACGGTGGTCAGACCTGTAAAGAGTACCAAAGCCATTCCGAGAAGCGTAGCGATTTCCACATGAAATATCTCAGGATAATTTTTGGCATCAAATGACAGGACAAAATAACAAAAAAACTCTAAAGTTCTCTAAAAAGCAAATGCCAAGACTGAATTGAAAGAAGTGGGAGAAGATACCCCTGAAAAACAGACTGAAGCTTCAACATCAAATGAACCTGATTTTCACCGAACTTTTTTTTCGCAAGAACACACAAAGGATCACGAATAATTGACTGAACGACCTTCTCACAGACTTACAGCTAACAACACGCATGCTGAATTATTAGGTTCAAGGTTCCAGTAATGGAATTTGTTTGCTGACGGATTGAGAGTAAGCACATTTCGAAATAATCAATTGTGAAAATGATTTTCAGCCCAATTTTTACAATGAAGAAAGTGGTGCTGTGGCTGATGAACCTTTGGAGTGTTCAACAAAGTGTTGCAGCTATGCAAAGCGACATCAAGGCAAATGGAGAGATAATAACATGTCAGCAGATTACTGTAAGTTAGTTACAAGAAAAATCAACAGAACTTGAAAACAAGAGACAAGCCAAGAGACAATATATACCCTCCCACCCCATGAAGTAACCCTAATTTTATTCCTTCTTTATTATTTGCTAAATATTAAAACCTGAATATCTTGAAAACTAGACATAAACGTCAATTTTCACAACCATTTTCGTGTTCTGCGTCCCAAAACTCACACGAAACGTGATGTTCGAGCCCCAAAGCAAACACATTTTGAACATTTGTACACCAGTGTTATTTAGGAGGTGGGCTCCTGACCCTGCCGGTCAGGGTCAACCGGGCTGAGAGTGATATAACATTCCAGCAGAAAGACCGCCTTACTCAACAGAACACTTGAGGCAAACAATATAATCCTAACGACTTCAGAATATATATTAATTTGTTTTCAATAATGCCACTTACATTCAGATTCCTCACATTCGACTTAAGAACGACAACATGAGCCACTCTGAGGAGAGAAAAACGTAAGCACTTCAGGTGCGTCATAATTCATGACATTCACTAGAATACATATTTCTTTTTAAAAGGGTGTAACGGATTTCACTTTAGAATAATTATGCACCAAACAACTAAGCCTATGTTATAAATCGTCACGCACACCCTTAGCTCAGTTGTTGGTATCCCGCTGGGCTATGGTATGGACACCTGGTTCAAATCTTCAATGGAATGTTCTTGAAATTGTGTTGTTTGGGGAGTTTTTAAGGCTTACCACTTACTTGGCTCCTTCCTTTTGGGGAAGTAAGACACATTCAGAGGTCTCGTCATGAACGAGAAGAAGAAAAATAAAATTAAAATAAACGAAAAGAGTTGCAATGAATTTTAAATCTATACAATCATATTAACTATTACTATACATAAATAATCTTCTATTAGAAAATGTTCAGTGCAGATTTTCTTTTTTATATTCGAAACTCCCTCTCCTCTTTTCTTCAATTTAGGTAACGATCTCTCTATAGAAAGTACAGAAGTACAATGCAGTCAAAATTGAAGGTTATACTTATAATCAGCAATCTTGTAAAACAGTTTGTTTCCCGTGAAGTTCCCTTCCAGGTTCAGTCTGACTGCCTAATATGCAAAATGGGAAACAAACATTAATGATCTCATCAAATACATTGTACTTCACACATTAGTGATCACATTAAATACCTCACGCATACATTGTCATCGTTAATCTTTTCACATTAATTATCACATCGAATAACTAACAAATCAATAATCACATGAAATAACCCACAAATCAATAATCACATCAAATAACCCACAAATCAATAAGCACATCAAATACCTCGACCATCAACGATTAAGGGAGGGTCATAATCGCTTTAAAAAGAATATCGAGAGCATCGTCCCACTGGGAAAGTCATTTCTGCTTGTTCTTTTGTTCAAGTTGGAGAGAAAGCCTCCACACAAGGAATTCCATTTAGTGCTAAACAACAGAGAGATAATACATTTTAATAAGTAGATCCGTTCAGTGGTGATGCATAATCTTTAAAATTGGCAAACACTTTTCTGGAGACTAACACGGCAGGAAGTAGGCAAATTACAGTTGGTTGTCTGAGGAAGATAATGGGCATCTACAGACTGGACCCGTTCAGAAACGTGGTATTATGGAGGCAAACCAAACCACAACCAATAATTGACCGTGAGATTAATTTAAAAAAGCGGAGGTGACATTGGATTGGACACACTCTATTGAAGCTAACCCACAGCATGACAAAGCAACAAAGGCTTAGATGGAACCCCCAGAAGAAGAGAAAGACAGGAAGGTCGAGAACTACATAGGAGCGGGATCCAGAGGCAGATCTCAGGCTTATGGGACATAGCTGGCTGGAGGAAGAGAAGGTCGCCCAGAACAGAGATAGGAGGAGAGCTCTTCTTGGCGGCCTGTATCCTATACCAGGGTGAAGGAGGCGAATGATGAGGATGAAAAAGTTCTCGGATAGAACGATTTTTAAAAAAGATTAGCCTATCTGGGCTCCTTGAGAATAATGACGATCCGAAAAGCAGTCATTGAAAAAAAACAAAAAAAACCCCAGATCCATAATATCTGAAATCTAGATTTCATCCAAATAATACTGTGGTCGGCTCACATGACACTGTTAAGAACAGCCATAAAATCTTTTACTTTGACGGGACACCAAAAGTGAATGTAAACACATGTTATGAACATAGACACCCACATGCAAAAACAAAACAATATTGTTGTTATTTCTTCATATAGACGAATAGCAACATTCGCTAAAAACGAAACTGGAAAAAAACCACGGAAAAAAGGAGGCAAAAATACAAAACAACAACAAACAAGCAAAAAACCCCCCAAAAACCCAACCTCCAACTAACAGCTCCCCAAACATAGCCGTTCTGAACGGGACGTGAGACCTAACAAGTCCTACCGTTCTGTTCCAAACCCGAGGGAGGCGGTGGCCCTGGCGAAGAACACGCTCTTCGGGGCTCCGACCCTTTCTAACAGCTCCCCCCCCCCCCACACACACACACCCAACAAAACCCGGGGTGTTGTATCAATCACTTACATTGTAATATAAGAAAGACACCAAACACCTACACAGACAGAATCACAGAAAGTTTACGTACCACATTGAGCTTGAGCAGACGGACACTGTGAGTCTTGCCGTGCTCCGTGGCATACACTTCGACATTCCCTTGAAGCCACAGGACGATGTCTGTTGCGGAGATAGACACATTTGGCGCCACCGTCGAGGCTGCAAGCAAGCTTACCTCTGAATTTGGGAACTGTTTGCCGATCTGATAGATACAAATGTATTTTTGACGCTCGATAGGGTTGTATTGTAAGTTTGGTCGTACAAAAAGGACCCTTTCCTTCTCTTAGTGTGAAGTGATTTTTCATGGAACATGTTCTGTCCAAAAATATTTCTCTTACATAAAATCATTACGAGTTCACAATTCCGTGACCGATGAGTATGCGGCCCTGTGATTTCTCTCACCACACACACACACCCACCCACCCACC